GACGGAAGTAAATCAGACGCTCGATCTCACACGCTTGCGAGCATGTAGAGACTGTAGTAATGGTTAGCTCGTTAGGGCGCTTGCAGGTCCTCTATGTATAGCCAGTGAAAGATGACACATACGATACTAAGTCTGTTGTTAGCCAATTCGCCGCACATGGGAGGAAGATCTCCGTCCAGAAGAGCTTACCTTGGTCACTTCGCCCGAGAGCTCTCCCCTCTTTTCGAAAGTAGATGACAACACCGCTTCCCCCCATTCTGGGCTTCTTTGACAGCCTCTTCAATTCCGAATATGAGGTAGGGGCGACAGGTGCAAATATCCGAGCCGAAGACATCGCTTCCGTTGCACTTGACCGATATCAGCTTCAGGGGAATTGTCGAGGGGTGGTAAGTGATGAGACGTACCTCGTCGTGGATGCGTAAAGCTAATCTGACCGAATCATCCGACATTTTGGCAGGATCTCCGAAGCAGTACACGGTGAGACCGCCTGGCAGATGTTATTAGCAGGGCACTGATGCTCAGAGGTTGTCATCGCCATACCGATCGGAGGCATAAAGACCTTGATGTCATTTCGAGTGATCAACTTTGAATGCATTAGTCTGCCGTCCTGGGAGACCTGGAGGCGAGATCTCTGGTACTTACCTCTGGATAACTACCACCTGTGTGCTCGAAAAGTGATCTCCGCAATGTACCTTCGTCTAGGCCGAGTTAGCATGTGCAAGCCCGCCACTTCTCATTCGCATCGACTGACCAATGCCGAATCGTTCCGCCACACCTGGTAGATACCAAACCTTTGTTCGGGTCAATTAGCATCAAACACTGCAGGGAAGGAATGTGTGGCATGAAAGCGTACGGGTTCAACGGCAAACTTGGTAACCGCAAGCTCGCCTTGATCATTCAGGCAAACTTTGCCGTCTGGAACTCTGCAATCCATATCAGGAACCAACACTGGACACCGAGGCTTTGTGACTCACAGCCTTCCACTCTTGACACTCTCGGCGAGCTCGGGAAGCTACATAATCATTAGCGATATTCGTAGTAGCTGCACTGAAGCCGTCATGACCTTCATGTGAGCCTTCGTAATGGCAATGGTAGGACGAATGTCCACTTGATGGCCACGTCAGAATACAACCAGTTCAAGAAAATATTGGAATGGAGAATGTATTACTTACCATTTTCGTTCTCGATGGTGTCTTTGAACAGCCAAGGCGCGAGATGCCCCCATGGATCCATGGCCACAATCTTCTTCTCATCTCCCCATTGAGGGAAGGGTCCAATCCGGGAGGCAGGTTCCGTATTGGTGAAGTCCGGTCTGCAATAGTTGCATGATGCCAGTCAGCACAGGGCATTATCACTGG